ATGCATATGGCTCATCATCAAGAAATTCATCAGCGATTCTTCCAAAATGAAAATTCTCTCTATTATTCCTTGATGAGGCTGTTCACCTCCTTTTTCTCCCAGCTAATAGCGTCGTATGTCAAATTGCATTCCACTTCCTTCTTTTTTCTTGGCTCCGAACATCTGTTGCGTCTCGAATTCAGGCCATTTTCTAGCGCGCAATTTTCGGACGTTCTTGTCAATGTCAATGCAATTATCTTGGCTGAGTAATAGCACTAGCGGTGGAATGGTTACGAAGCAAAGATGCTTCCTGGATTGGTTCTATAGATCTATAGTGTATCAATGAGTTGTAGCAAAAATGGATTGTGCATTTTTTACCAGCGAAATTTTGAGCGAAATTTTTACCAGAACAATTATTGAGGAAGAAGCTTTCAAAGGCAGCGTCCAGGCAAGTCTGGACCTATGGGGATTTTACGTGGAAAGTACTTTTGGGGCCCTAACTAAGCCACTGCCCAACCGGCAGCTCAGGTAGTGCCCTAACGGCTGAGATTCTCCCCTCGAAAGTGGACCCCGCGACCGTGTTTCGCATGGATTCATGGCGCAAAGTGTGGATCCTGGCGCGAAACTGCCATGAATCCATGCGAATACTTTCGCGGGGGCCAATTTCGAGGGGAGTATCTCAGCCATTAGAGCACTACATGAGCTGCCGCTTGGGCAGTGCCTTAGTTAGGGCCCCAAAAGTACTTTCCACGTAAAAGCCTCATGGGTCCAGATTTTCCTGGACGCTGCCTTTAAAAAATTAGCCGTATGCGTGCCATTTGATAGAAGAAAGAAAGGCTTATAAAACGAGATTTAGATTTATGTACATAATTAATGAGGAAGTCAAAATTTGACAATTATCATATTTAGAAGTTTATCTGTTACAAAAAAAATCACCTCGTTCAAACTCACTGATATTTAATAGATGCTTTTTATGCAAATACAAATTTACTATATGAACATTACTTCAAAAAATGCAAAAGAAAGTTAGTGAAAAATAGGTGACTTTGACATGAAAAGTTTGTAGTTTATCTCCCAGCTACCAGCGTGAGAATCCTACGATTTTTTCTGCGGAAATAAAATTTCACGTGCTTGTTAAAGAAAGAAGGAAGGAGAAAATTCTAGCGCATTGTTCGCCACTCCCTTGCCTTTTGTTAGGAACCCAGTCTACTTCTCTCTCTCAATCCTTTTCTCAAACATTTTCCACAAGTACTCAGAAGATACAGAAATACTTAGCCAATGAAGGCGCACTACATCAGTTCACCCTGTTTGGGATTACGAATGAACAATAATCAATTTTCTTCAAGTTCGTCGATTAAGAAAGAAGAAATCTTTTTTAGATGTGAACATTTTTCTTTCGAATGAGTCAGCTTGAGAAACATCCAACGCTCTCTGTTCTTATGCCGAACATAAACCGATACACGCTAGAAAAGCGATGATTTGCATGCGTTTTCGATTCGTCCACGTTGCATTACACGTCCTATGTCAAAGACTTTTCTTGTTCTGTGATTTATCGCTTTGAGTTATCAAGCAGTTGTTGACCTTACGATTTATTTTCAAACTTTTATTTGTTGGTGTTCAATCAGGTGTCGAGCTGACAAGGGAAGCGTCAGGACTCGCAGTGGAGTTTTCCAACGAAATGTATATAGGTTTGTAGGTCCTGGCACGCAACTTACAAAACAGCCTTCCGTATCTGCCAATCGGTCCTCCGGGCCGAGATATAAGCGTTTGAATTTCGCGAGATCGCGCGTCAACACAAGTACGCGCGAGCTACCTCAACATTGCATGGTGGCGTAGCGCAGTGGCAAGAGGTCGGGTTCATGATCCTTGAGGTCCAGGTTCGAATCCTTTCCTCGGCAGCACTTTTGCATTCACTTATTTTTGTATTCGATGATAAGCTGAACGTTCTAGCATCATCACTAACAAATTTTATTGCAAAAGTAAGCTACTATAGTCTATTTTGGAATTAGACAGCGGTACGTTCGAAACTTGCAGTGATTGAAACAAAAGTACTATCTTTAATACAAGCAGTAGCACAAGTTAGCACATCCCAAAGCGTAGTAGTCTATATCATGTTCTCACCTGAGCTGGTAGTTTCTTATCTTGCCAAGGAGTTTGGATGTTCGGAACCGGCACGTGCACCGAATCGGAAGGAAAGGAAGATTATAGATGGCTTCATGTCTATCTTGCGTGAAGCGCTGCACGAGAGCGTGGAAGTTGAATCAGATGAAGAGATGGCCATGGAGAATATTGAAATAGACCCTCTTTGGTCTGCCGGGGATGACGACAAAGAGCAAACCAAGGGAAAAGGTTCCGTCAAATTTGGAAATGTAGTGGTGCAAGAGGAAACGGTGTGTCTGACTTGAGTTAAATTATTTTTTATTAGTCTTAAGTACTGTATAGGTGCAAAAAGCTATACAATTCTACCGATCCTCGGAACAAGGATATCGGTCACTGTCGTGTATGAATAGAATGTTTCGATTCATTACCAGCCCGTATCACTTAAGAAAATTGAGGCAGTTTGAGCAGGAAGGTGAGCTGCAGTTATTAAAAAAATTTAATTTGATATTCAAAAAAGCTGTACACGTCAGGTAGAGTTCGCGCCGACAGATTGCTTCAGCTACGTGCACTAGCAGAGAAGTTACGTGAAGTGGTCTTCTCAAAGTTTAATAAGGGCATAATTTTACACGACTCTGACATACGTCAGCTAGCCCTCAAACTGAACAGAGAGGAGTTTCTTATTGAGGATTTCATAGCAAGCGGTTCTTGGATAGATAGATTCAAAAGGAGTTGCGGGATTGTCTCCAGAAGAATAACCACATTTTCATCGAGAAGGAGATTTTTGGAAGCCCCCGAAACTGCCGCCAGAGCGCAAGCATTTGTATCGGAAGTGAAAAAAGGTAAAATGCAAATTTTTTTGGTAACATAGCTGTTGGAATCAAACATTGTGATGCAGAAATGGAAGCCTGGCCCCTCGCTTTGGTCTGTAACGCGGACCAAAGTGGCTTCTTGAAAGAGATGCACAGTGCTCGTACTTTGGCCCTAAAAGGAGTAAAGAAGGTGGAGCGCGTCGTACAATCAAAAGCCGCTACCCAACATTCCTTCACAATGATGCCCATCATTTACGCTGATGGGCATCTTGGGAAGAAACTATTTGTTGTGCTTCAGGTTTGAAATTTTATCCGCATTAGGTATTGAAATTTTTGATTTACTATCTGTAATAGGAACCGCATGGCACGTTTCCCCAAAGAGGATTCTTTCAAACGCACAACCTTGAAGTCCGTTCCAATACAACACATATTATGAACAAAACCCTCTTATTGGATTGGATGCAGTCGTGTGTAGGGTCCACTGATTCTCCCGCGTCTACACTTCTTATTGTAGATTCTTGGAACGCATTTAAAGATCATTCTGCTATGAGGTCTGCTTTGCCGCATGACAAGCAGATAAAAATCATGAATATACCCGCTGGCGCAACATCCCAAATTCAGCCTTTGGATGTTTACTTTTTCATGCCCTTTAAATGTATGTATAAACGTATTGGCTCCTACATAGCGGCCCATGAGATAGATTACCGAGTAGACGCTCGCGATTCGATCCTTTGCATGCTGTCCCTCGTCTATCATCAGTTTTGTGCCCCCCGTTTTAAAAACTTTTTATCGTATTCGTGGCACGCAGCAGGTTATATCGATGAGCATCCTGGAGCCTTCCTTACTCCTGTGCAATACTGCTTCCCATCCGATCTTGTAGGGACTTGCCAAATAAGTAATTGTGAGGAAGAGCACTTTATTCGCTGTGCCTATTGCGAGCACCTCATTTGTTTTCAACATTTTATTGTAAGTTATCATATGTGTACATCACCATAAAACCGCTTGAAGTACCAGTAGGCTACTGTATTTTTGCAATAAAATTTGTTAGTGATGATGCTAGAACGTTCAGCTTATCATCGAATACAAAAATAAGTGAATGCAAAAGTGCTGCCGAGGAAAGGATTCGAACCTGGACCTCAAGGATCATGAACCCGACCTCTTGCCACTGCGCTACGCCACCATGCAATGTTGAGGTAGCTCGCGCGTACTTGTGTTGACGCGCGATCTCGCGAAATTCAAACGCTTATATCTCGGCCCGGAGGACCGATTGGCAGATACGGAAGGCTGTTTTGTAAGTTGCGTGCCAGGACCTACAAACCTATATACATTTCGTTGGAAAACTCCACTGCGAGTCCTGACGCTTCCCTTGTGAGTTCAATGAACTCACGTTTTATTTTGCGATTTTCGCTTGAGCGCTTTTCGCCAACGAAATTCTTTCCTAAAGGAAATAGTCACATGTTAGAGTTACTTTTGAAAGCCGCTGAGTTTTTTTTTTCATTTCTTCCGTCTGCATCGTTATGTTCAATGTTGTTTGCTGAGTAAACCTTCGATGTTTCATTTGTAGAGAGAAGTTGGCCGGGAGCCACGGAAGTTCTACTTATATATCTTTGATGTGACGTACTCAAATGACTCATGTAGAATCCGATAGTAATCAATTATTATTTTGGTGGAGATATCACATATTTTCAAATCACAGTTTCTCATTCCTAATCCGCTGGCTGTTCTTCGTATGGCATTCCATCCTATCCAATAACTTTTCTCTCCTTCATTTGTCTTCGTCGAGCCCAATTTTTCTCCGAATTTCGAAAACCGTCTTTTCAAAGCGTTTTCTTTAGCTCTATTCGTGTTGTGACTCTGGCCATGGTTTTTTTCTGTAACCTTTATCAAACACTGCATTTTTAATCAGTTTCCAATATGGTGAAATTGCACGCAATCCGAACTCTTACCTTAAAACTCGCGCAATGTTTGCTAATTATTTTTGAATCCGTTATTACTTCTTTGAACTTTGAGGAAAGTATTTGTGATGAGTTTCAATTTGTACGTGCTCCAGAACTCAAAATTGACGAACGTCTAAGACTGGAGTTTTGCACGCCAAATTTTCTTTTCTTACAGATGGAGGCCGCACGAAATAATGCGGATTGGGGATTTATCAAGAAGAAACCTTTTGGTGTCATTATGTCCGCGCAGACTGTGAGTTCTTTTTACTTTTTTGCTGCTATTTTTTTTCTTGTTTATTGGCAAAATATCTTACAGGTGGTGAGCTTATTCATTGTGTTGTGCGTCGTATTCGCACCATTTGTCTTCGAAGGTGTTGCTTTCGTCAGCGGTTGCGCATTCACATTATTCATCTGCTCTTTCATTTATAATTTGTTCCATATCATGGGATGGAATAGAAAGGTATGTGATTTTTCACAGTGCTCATCAGTAGGGGGACCAAGAAAAAAAACTGCTGGGATAGTGGGACAAGAAACAAACTGCTGGGCTTTTAGAAAGTTTTTTTAGAAGTGGAATTGAACAACCAAACTGGGGGTAGAATATTTTTTCATAACCAGATTATCAACCTGCTATTTTTTAGGTGTTGTCATTGCCAGGTGGAATAAATCTTTTTGTACCATGTACCTTAATGGTGAGTGTTTCTACCTTTTTTTTACAATTCTGAGATGATTTCTTTTCCTCTCAGGTATTCGCATGCTCTGTTATCTTTTTCTTTCTATTCTTGTTCGGCACCCTTATCTGCTTAGTTGGATTCTTTGATTCATTCCGTTTCACGGTTCGACTCATCATTACCTACTTTTTCATCTCGGTAAGAGTTCACTTCATTTCTCATTTAATTTGGATGTACATTCATCAATTTTTTAGTTGGCAGTTGCTTTGGACGCATTTCTTTGTCTTCGTCTTTTTGTGCTTCTGTTCCGTGCAGCACCCAATAGTCAGATATTAGGTCTGACTACCGTGCTGATAGATGGCGATAAGACATCGAGGTTAGCATATATCGGGTGTCCATCGTCCTATGTGTGAAAATATAATAGTGGTCACGTGAATACCGATTAAAACACAATTTTGGTGGTCATTAAATTATGGTAGTACACATAAATCAAAATATTTCTTGAATTGAGAAAACGCGCTTGAGTATAGGATTTTGCTTATTTTTGTACCTGAAATCCTTAGTTCAGAAGCAGCAGAACCTCAATGTTTGAATGGGTTTACCGCTTAACTTTTTTTTATTCATGATTAGTGAATTTTTGATGAGAATTTAATAAGCCTTTTTTGACAAAAAAGGATCTTCCAAAAAATGAGGTATCCCGAAGGATGTGACTATTGTTCCCTTTATTCAAAAGTTTTGTCAACCCCTCTCCCACTTCCTCCATGGAGTGTCTGCTTGAATTGTAGAATTTTAGATTGGAAGGATCAACAACGCAGTTCTCACCTACAGCAACATCTGGTGGTACAAATCCGGTTTAAATTCACGACATTGTCCATAAGTATCAATTTCTTTACTTGCCATAAGTCATCTCGATGAGTGCATATCATATCTAATCCCTCATGACGCATTCACCTCATTTTCCTTTTTTTTGCTGATATCGATTTCTTTTTTTTTTCTTCCGGTTGCTCGCTTTTACGTATGAAGTCTATTCTCACATTTTGATGCTTTCATTGATTCTATAATTCTTTCTACTTTGCATAAGTTATTCATCTGATGACTGCTTTGTCCAGTGGCTTAGCATAATTTGAAATTAATGCTTGAAGTACTATTTATTTACATTTTTCCTATTAAACTTTCAGTTGAATCATCAGCTGTTTGAGAGTCAGTTGTTCTTCCGTTCATGTGAGATATCAGTTGGCACGAGTCTCTTCCCAATTTAAGTTCTAGGTCGTGATATTCTAAGAGGGTGCGACGATGTCCGGCCGATATGTAGGAGATGTTATTCTGAAAAAAGCAGGAAGAAATAGCTGGTCGCAATTTTTTTAAATGTACCTTTTTGAGAAGATTATAGATAATCCTCTCGTCTTCAATATCTACGCTGCTTGTAGCTTCATCTAGCACTGCTACCTTGGGATTACGGTAGAGAATTCTAGCAAATGATAGCCGTTGTTGTTCTCCCGGTGAAAGTGTGTCCTGCCTGGAATTTTATTTTTCAAACAAATTTCACTCGCCATCACTTTTTTCTAAAATACTAACCATTCAAAATCCACTTCAGTATCCAGTCCACCACAAGTTTCCAATAATTGTGTTAATCGCAACTCCGAAAGAATTTGAACTATTTTTCTTGATTCTGGAATGAACGCTCTGTTTGTCTTTCTGATCGATTTTCTACAAACCTTCGTCTTTCACTTCGTCTAATCCATCTTTCGGATTATCTGGGAAACAAATCTGTTTTCTAAGTGAAAGACGTCCGACGGGAAGATACGGTCTTTGCGGTAAATAGAGATATGCACTATTCGGCAAATACCGCTGAATGTTTCCTGCAAAGTTCACTTTTCAAGATTGTAGAGGCTTGATAGGGTGAAATACAATTTCCTCAAGAACTCGGGCATGATCGAATTGGAAGTTAAACGCCAAAAGTGTGTTGAGAGTTTTTCTCCAAACCTTACACCTCAAATATATTGAAAGTTTACAGAAGTTCAGTCAATAGTGCATGTCATGGGATTATCCAGAGGAAAAAACGGTCGTAAAATGTAAGAAAAAGCTCGAAGAGCGAGAGGAAGCTGTTTTTTTTTTTGTGTGCCGGATCCCTTTTGAAAACATGTAAACTTCTTGGCTGACTTAACCTTGGCAAAACTTTTCAAAGCTTTGGATTGCTTGTTTGGGTTTTTTTCAGCACTCGAAAAAAATCTTGGTGAAGTAAATGCTAGAATCTCCTCCATTGGGAGTGTAGACTTACTTCTTATTTGCCTTACTGGAAAAAAAGTTTTGAAATTCAGAGCAAGAAACTTTTGAATAATCACTGTCTTTTTCTTTTGAAATATTAGGTTCATAGTTCGGTTTATAGTATCAGATCGTAGGTAAATGATAGTCAATTTATTCCGAATTTTGCATGCCGTGAAAAAAAATGTGTATAAGAAGTATGCAAAATATTTACTGAAACTCGAGAAAATTTTGCCAGAAAACAAAGAGTGTTGGCACTTCTCATCAACGGGGATTTCGTGATAATGTGAAACTAGATCATTTTTTGGTAGATCAAAACTCGAAAGAACACAAAGAACCAGAAACTGGAAGACTTTTTTGAACTAGTGTATTTCCCGAATTTCGAGGTGAAACTACTCCCTTTGTGACAATAATTTAAAGGATTGCGCTTGTGAGCCTTAGACAGTACAAGCGTACCTGATTTCTTAGGCCACAAATCGGCCATAATCCTCAATAATGACGATTTTCCTGCTCCGCTTGGACCGGTGACAATCAGACTTTTATCTATAGGAATGTCCACATTCAAATCTGAAATTCTGCGCTTGTTGGAAACCAATCACTAATAACTAGCTAAGTTTGCCTTACCCGAAACGAGGATATCATCTTCATCAAAAGGTTTAGTGAAGTATAAATTTTTGATACTGAAAGAGAGATTCTGCCCTTCTGAAATGCTTTCCACAGATCCCGCAAATCCTTCATTTCCAATTCCGTTGAAATCTTCCTTCTGTTGTGCATACTGCACAATTTCACATACCCTAAGAATCGAGTTCTTTGACGCAAAAATCGAGCTAGCGTTCAGAGTTGCCCGTGCCTTGGCGCTGTCAGCGACGCTCCACTGTCGTGCCAGGACCGTGTCAGAAGGACCCGATCAATACGGGGAGCATCCGCATGTGCACGACACTGACACGGGCAACACTGAACGCACTGGAAAAAATCTACTATACCTCAATATGTAACCTCCAAGTTCACCTATACTGAGCGCAAGATCTGTAAGGCGTGTAAAGCTGTTGATCAGATAAATATAGAAGAAAGCATTCTGAAAATAAAGGTTACTCACCATCAGATTTGCAACAAGGGAGAACGAGAACTTACATTGCTAATCTTCTCTCCTAATGATGCGTCGTCGAGATCGGCATAGCTTTTGAAGATAAAAATTGGAAAAACTTGAATAGCATAGGATAGCACTCCACCGTAATAATCGAAAAAGTTTTGTAAAACTGGAACAAGTAAAATTATTGGGTAATTAATAATCTTCTACGAGTAAAATTCCCACCTTGTGTAGGAAATTGCCATAACACAAATCTTAGTTGTCTATTCCATAATGTCATAAAAGCTTCATCACAGGCACTTTTCTCAAAATTTGCGGCACGATAGAAGGCGCTCTCTTCAGCGTTGTTTCGTACGGAAACATGTTTGAATCTCAATAAAATGTAAATTTATCAAATATCAAGAAAAAGGTCAGTCATACCGGAAGTCTCCCTCGGCTTTTTCCACTTTGGCAGCCCACTTAGTGACCGGTGAGATCAGTATGCGATTGAGAACAAGACCAATCACAAAAAATATATAGATAATCCCTACACCAAATCCACCAGCGCTGAAATTGTGAAAGATGAAAGGTTTCATGTCCCTAAACGAAAGCACAAATGGATAATGTCAAGGATGCTATAAAAGATATATGTGACTTTTTGGGAAGCAATAGAACATATAAAATCGGAAAAAATGTAAGCTAAACTACCACTATATCACAAAACTTTGGCATTTGGAGAATTGAACAAGATTTTGGCTGTAGATAAATCAAAGAAAGGAGGAGAAGAGGGGATGGAGAAGTGAGTACTTTAGCAATTGATCCTCTCAAAAAAGTGTCTTGATTGATCATTGCTCCCCCCCCCCCTTGGCAGAAATTCCCAAGGTCATGGGCCTTCGAAACACAATCGAAATGCTGTTCTTATATCTTGTGAACAAATTTCTATCTTGTGAACAAATTTCAGCTTCCTCAGAGGTCCTTTACATGATTTTGCATTTATTCGTTATTTCTTTTTTTTTCTGACACATCACAAAAGACAGCGACTAGAAGTCTCATTGACATTTCTTCCATTATGACTGTTTAAATACTTCTAGATACGATACAATAATTTTTCTAATCTTTTAGGAATGTTCAGCCCTCCAGTAGGTGATAACTCACCTCTGCCAAGTTCTATAAGTGTAATATCCTATAACAAATGGTGCTATCAGCAATGATGGCGTTATTTTAGTAGCCAATAATCTGCACAATTTTTCTACATCTTGTGTTATACGTTGATCTCTGGAATAACAGAGTTGGGGCAAAAATCAGTGAATGACATCAGACTTACGGATTATCAATTCCTTTATTGTCTATGCTGTTAAGAGTGTAATAAAGATTGTGGTCAAAGTACATTTGATGAAGTGATGTGACAAAATTTTTACGAAAGCATAGGTAGAGGCACCAGGAAAATAGCGCAACACCGGCGAGTAGCTGAAATAAATTGAAGAAACATTTTAACACATAAATGTATAGCCTATGTCAATAGCGTGTTGCCTTTTTTGTCAGCACAACCGTTACGCTCAACTTTGCGCAGCGTCGCGCCGTTTAGCACGCGCTGCACTTAATCCACATCCACTTCGCCATTTGTTAATCAGCGAAAATGACCAATAGCAAAGTAATCAGATCAAGTGGACAAGCGCTTCGCTATTGATCAATTTACTGATTTGACCAATAGCGGAGTGGACGAAGTGGTCAGGCGGATCAAATGGATTAAGTATAGCGCGTGCCTATGGCGGGTGGAGGACATTAGGTCGCCGAATTTGGAAGAGTCCCGCGCGGATTCCCTGCAGGAACGCATGTCCGCGTATGTACAAGGGTGCGTATTTGTCGCAAATGACCGCGGGGACCGCCCTCTTTCGGCGACCTATTGTCCTCCACCCGCCTATGGCTTAGTTATTCAAATTGGCCTTATCGATTGAAGCTCCGCACGCAAGGCCCTCGCTTTGTGAGTGCACAAGGAGCCGCAATTGACACAGACTGTAATTATACTGACCACGCATTGTCCACTAAAAATACTTGTGGCTATGGCGAACGTATTCCAGAAGACTGTTTCATCTTTTTGAATCAAACACTTGTAAAAGCGACCAGTTATGGTGCCGGACTTCTGCGCCACTACCTCATCTGAACTAAATATCTGCGAAATAAGCTGAAAAAACACATTGGACGATTATTGACTCACTTCCAATAGCACAAGCAAGCGTAAGAACTGTGAATAATACAGCAAATCGAGGTCTAGCGAATAGCAACGGTGTAAGTTTTCCGAGGCTGGTAACCACCCGCCAGCCGAACTGGTACTTCCGCTCAATTCGGCTAATTTTACCCATGATATGTTCGGTTCTTGCAAATTATGCGGCTTCACAAGGACTTCTTCATGATAGGGAGCAAAGTCTAAACATTATCATCAATTAACGATGTCACCACAGAAACAATGAACGAAATCGAAGAATCATTGACTTCTTGTGGAAAGGAACTTCTAATAGTCGTATCGAATAGTCCTAGCGCTGCGGTCATCGATATCATGAAGAGCTCAATTTTCTCATAAACACACTTTATTTTGGCTATGGCGATTGTTCTCTGTGGTAATGATTAGTCTTTGAGCTGTATTTTTCCTAAAATACGGCGCGAAAGGCAGATAAAAACAGCTTATAATCGTTGGAATAACGTTATTGGCAACAGTTCAGAGTATTGCTATGTTATAGTCTACTAGTTGGCTTACCCGGCTCCGCCAGGCCCTGTCAGTAATATATTCGTAATCAGCATGCTCGATTACCCCCCTGTGCCAACTCCCAGCCCCGTAGCTCAAATTTTGCAAAAAAAATCGATAAAATCGATGTCGATCGATGACGAAAAGTAGCCTATGACACCCGCCGGGGCCCGATGTGTATGTGTGCCAAGTTTGGTCCGGATCGGTTCAGAAATGGAATTTTCTATTCGGAACATACGTACATACATACATACATACATACAGACAGACAGACAGACAAACAGACATTCAGCTTTATATAGAAGGATTCCTTGACACAGTACATTTGCGTATGGTCCGCAGTTACAGTCATTACTGGGCATATGCTACCAACATTAATGAGATATCACATCAAGCCATTTGTAAGCAATTTTGTGTACTGCACACCGTATGCCGTACTTCACGATTTTATGCTTGAAAATCACCCGTTTACAGAAAGATTCTGCTTCCTTTTCTAACAATAAGTCAAACTAATTGGATAAATAGTGGATAAAAGTACATATCTCAACATTTTGTTCAGATGGAAAGGGTTTTACGAAAGAGTTACTAGTTAGGAGTCGTGGGCTGCCGCGCGCAGTGTATTGAGTACAAAGGACTCGACGATAATGAAAGAGAAAATATGCAGGACTTGTTTCACACAGGCATCAGGAAACAGATAAGAGATACCTTATGATGTGGTTCGCCATCAAATGGATTGAATACTTTTCAAAGAAGCTAGACAAGAGAAAATCCTCAGCGAATTTATTCGAACGCATTCAAATAATCAAACTAAACAGCATTTGCAAATGCACGCGACATTGAGAGAATTACGTGTGATCTGATCGAAACTCCACTGTCCAGTGAATGTGTTCGAATGACAGCGGCTGCAGAAGCACAGCGACATGGATAAAAACATGCGAACGCACTGGAATCATTGTCACTAGCATCTCATTTCAGAATGTTCGTAGCAACTGATAAGCGAGCGTTTCAGGGGGAGCGGGGGAGATGGTGCAAGATTTTGCACACTTAGCTGGGTGAGTGCAGTAGAGAACCACTGCAGATAGCGCAAAAGAAGATAGAAATGTGGAACAAATCACAATTAAAATTCCAAATTTTGATTCAGATTACAGTTGATAGGGTTGTCCGAAATTTATTGAAACAAGCTGTGCTAAGAAATCCTGCAATAATGGAAAGATCATTTCAAAAAAGCCTCGGGATTCAAAATCGTTCGATACATATAACCTCGAGTCATTCGTAACTCAATGTGTGAAATTGCACACTGGCCCATTAGCGACGGCACCCATACTAGTAATTCCCCAGTAAAACATTTTTTAGCTTAACAAAATGTAGAAATGTGTTCTAATGACTAACATAAAACAACCAAAACAAAAGAAACAAGGAAACAAGGAAAATCACTGGAAATGAGCAGCTTCTAGTTTCGCTATTCGTCAGTTAGCGTGTATATTGTGCACTACGCATATTAAGTTACTGACTCGACGATACCTAGTCTAGTCGTTCCACAACCTAACTGTGCAGTTGCACGCTTTGCGCATATCGAGCGTCATGATCGTTTTCATGCCTACTCGAACCCCTTTTTTCCAGCTAAGTGCTTTCTCAAGTTTTTCTCAGCCTTCGTTCTTTTCAACCATCTACAGAAACATACTATAAAGACTTTCCATGATACGACGAACAACAACATTAAGGATGGAACGCGAAATTTGTGCAGTGTGTGCAAACGCACATTAGCATATATAACGACTGAGTTCGAATTTGAACTGAAAATTCCCGGGTTTCCAGCCTGTTCATCAACGGCAAGTTGGAAATAAAAGTCCAAACTGATTATTTGGGTTTATCATAAGCGTCTTTGCGAAGAGTAGAATTTTCAAAAAATTCACTTTCCAACGTATCACATTTAGCGCTCCATCAATAAAACGATAGACGGTACTCATCCTATAGAACTTACAGTTCTTATAATTGCAGCGCTTTATTAATTTGAAGAGAAAATACATTTTATTTTAGCCGCAAATGATTAACTTTGAGATCAATAGGCATGAAGTATGAGGATAAGACCAAGAACAAATTGATAAGCAGAGATAGCCTATCAAAATGTTGTGTGAGCGAGACAAAATGTGCTAAAGTTTTTATGAACTGATAAATGTGAACGGAGTACTTCTTCCTTTAAAATAAACTCAAGCCGAAGAGACTATACTCAAAAATACGCAGAAAATTAGATGTTTACAAACAAACATCAGATTATACGACACGTTTGCTACACTGAGAATCGATGCACAAATAAATTCTGCGATAATCAATCATTAACTAAGGAAAACTACTACTATTGATGAGCTAATATTATCGCGAAAATGTTTCGAATGCAACAGAGAACTGGAATCAATATTTACGAAGTGAGTAAACAAAAAGTGCGTTTCATCAGTAAACGAGCACTATGCGATCAGAGCTGACAGGAATTTTTCTTCCTTGATAAACAATGGTTATGGACTCGATCAAAAATGAAATGCACTCATATTTAGATGGTAATAGTTGAAATGACACTTTTTGATCGAAGCATTACAGCACGAAGAAGGTACAGGCCGTAATGTTGTGAGATGTATGGTCTGTAGCAAATGTCCACTGGCAAAATCTCGGCGATAATGTCTCACATACAGTAGATCTGTATGTAATATGCCCTGCTGTCACTTCTTATCGTACCCGTTCTTGTTCACCCCCGTGGGGGTGTGGGCCGATCCCAGCAGCAGTGCAACGCTGGGCCGACCCGTGATGAGGTGCGAGCAAGCCCGCAACCTCATCCGGTTCCAAAAATCAAATAACCTTAACGAGACTCATTCGAGACTCTATCGAAGGTTAATTCGATAAGAACAGAAACTAAACTTTGATCTTAGCCAAAAGGCCGAGAAGCGATACCTATTTTACTAAAGTGAGAGGGCAGCCCTCCCAGCGCGTCGTATATCGCGCGGGTTGCATAGCGCCGCACAGCGCGTGAGAATGCCAGCAGTGGTAGCTCTGCCTTCCAAAGGAGGGCTGTTGCAGTTGGGCCTCCTTAAAGGCAGCGTCCAGGCAGATCTGGACCTATGGGGCTTTTACGTGGAAAGTACTTTTGGGGCCCTAACTGAGGCATTGCCCAAGCGGCAGCTCATGTAGTGCTGTAACGGCTGAGATATTCCCCTCGAAACTGGACCCCGCGACCGTGTTTCGCATGCATTCATGGCGCAAAGCGTGGATCCTGGCGCGAAACTGCCATGAATCCATGCGAATACGTTCGCGGGGGCCAGTTTCGAGGGGAATATCTCAGCCATTAGAGCACTACCTGAGCTGCCGCTTGGGCAGTGCCTTAGTTAGGGCCCCAAAAGTACTTTCCACGTAAAAGCCCCATAGGTCCAGATCTGCCTGGACGCTGCCTTTAAAGTGAAGTAGGGAAGCTTCCAAGCACATCCACCAAATTATTCGATTACCAAGACCTGCTAATGGCTTCCTAGTTCAGAGTTGTATGACGGTGATGTTTACAACACATATTTGTGTACTTGGATCCACTGCAAATTAGCTGAAAATATTTCTTCATGGGGTATTCAGCAGAAATCATCATAGATCGATATGTAGTAGTGATCTCATTGTATCCATCTAGTGGTGTAATGGGAGTACCTACCGCAAACTTTTGTCATTATGTGTGGAGACCGACAATATAGTGTTTTTTAACTTTTCTGGATTCCTCTGTGTCGCGGATTGGGCCCCCAGCTCCCAACGTCAGTGGTACAACGGCTCTCCTGCAACGGCGAGGGGAGCCAGGGGTCCCTTCCGTGAAAGGGTGAAACGACTATTGTGTGGTGGCTACCTGTGTAACGATGCTTGTGCCTGCCACATGGGAACTCCATACACACCTAGAGGCCCTTGCCACCAGCCTGCTTAGCAGGTTACTCGACACCTGCGACTCGATCTTTTCTCCCAACTATCGACAGTTGGGGCGTGTACTCATAACCGTGGCACTACCATGGATCGTGCCAGCCGTCCTACAGATGTTTCCACTAGGCTAGATTATAAGACACAACCTTGATGACACAAATATCCCCGGAGCCACAGCCGAGCTGTGACTCACCGCTTCAGTACAATCCACACGAATAAAATGCCCACCATTTATCCACAATCAATCCCTAGACTCAAACACAATGGGGTGGAGCACAACCAGCCAAGATCTTACAACCCTAGGGGCCAGCAGTATCGAAAACCCCCCGAGGCGGTGTCGCCGGCATGTGCCAGGTGCGATCGCACTCGGGGTTACCTCGTAGCGCGGGGTGCCAGTCCTCCGTGGCGTAGATGGATGTGACGCGTGAGATGGGATTGGCGCTGTATCGATCGATGGCGTTGAAGCGAAGATGGAACCCGACCGCTCACGATGGCGACAGCAGCGTAGACTGACTACGTGACTTAAACGAAAGCTGCGCAGGTGAGAGAGGTGAGAGGCGGGACAGCGCGAGGACGGCGTTTCAGGACCCCTTCGCACCGCGGCGGCGGCCTCCTTTGAAGGAAGTCGCGAATCCGCGACACTCCGGGCAACAAGAAGAAAAAGGAAGGGGTCCGAGGTAGTTTCCGATCTGCCACGTTACCTACGACCCTACGAGTCAAACATACAACCAAACCTACGAGTCAAAAAT